AAATAAGAGTGTTATCAGCAATAATATGTATCATCATGAGATGTTTTTCTTTAGGAGGCAGAGAGGTTGAAAGGAAACGTGAATCTCTTCATAAACTGGGAACATATGTGGTAAGGGGAGCAAATGCCAACCAAGGCAGAAGCAGGGGGACTTCTCTGGAAAGCTGGTGAGGGCACAGGCTCTGAAGTAGCAATGAGGCAGAAAACAAAGGCAGGCATCCAGGGACCATCCACGGTGGAAAGGGCTGCCATGGGTGGGAGGAAGTTGAAACGTGTCACTCAAAGGAAAAGGTGTTCCAGAGCAGGTATGGCATTCATGGCTCAGCAAACTACCACTGCGTTTTAGGAAAAGTTGTAAATTTCTACCTCGCTGTCTAAATCAGGATTGAAGAGATTGAGCTACTAGATGATACTGTTTTTCTGAATTCATTCATAAACATTGTGGAAGAAAGGGAATAACATTAATTCAAGCTTCCTCCAAACCAGAGAAGAGAGAGAGCATTCTCGTTCTAAGCACAGATTTTGGAGTTGTGGTAACTGAGAAAAGTGCCACAGCTCTTTCTCACAGTTCTCCTAAGATAAACTCGAGGTGTTATATTTTGAGAGACCAGCTGAAGGAATCTGCTCCTTTCATAAAACCCTGATAGCCTAATTTTTATATTTATTATCTGGGGGAAAGGAAGTAGAGCTTAAGTCCAATCTTTGTACAAATATATTCTAAGAAATAGAGTAATGAACATTAATGTCGTTTGCTTTATGATCCTTGCTCTTCTAAGGACCTTTAAGCAGTGAAATGGCAAAGAACATCAAACAGGTTAAATAAAATAGGCAAACTTTTGTTTCAAGCTGTTAAGGTGCAAAGAGACAGATTACAAATCACAGAGCACTGAATTTTCAAGGGTGAAATCGTACCAAAACCGTGATAAATTTTCGCTGACATCATAGGAGAGTAAGTGGTCTGGAAGGTCACTGATGGTGCCCTGCACAGCCAGCACGTGTGGGGCCAAGGTGAAGGGCACGTCGTTCAGGAGTTCGGCCATTAACGAGTTGTTTTCCAAAGTCTGGCCTGCCTTATTTTCCACCTCGGGGCCTGCTCCAGTCACACTGGATGAGGTTTCTTTGCCAGTCTAAAAATACATATATATTTAAGTCATTTAGACCTTGTGGACTTGGAGGCTTAGGAATGGTAAATGTGGCGTTAATATAACAAAATGATTGTGAAATGTGGGATACAGAAAGAGTCCTAGATCAGAATGCTCTTATTTATTTCACTTGAGAAATACATCCATCGCAGTCTCTGTTGGACTTTGAAATGAATCCTAAACCCTACTTTTACTCAGACTGGCTACCCATAGCCCTCTCAAATACAAATTGGCATTTTTGCTATTTCCTTAGCCTGATAATGTCTACAAAGTCTGGCTCACAGATCTGATGTATGCTTTCAGGCTCTAGGGAATTCCCAGCTTCCCTGTGAAATCTTATATCAACACAGTCCAAAGTGACCTTTCTCACTTCAGAGAGAATATGGGGCAAATTGCCTAGGATATTATTTGGCAATTCCTGTTTGTGTCCATGCTGGTGGCTGTTTCATATGCATACATCTTATCCCCAACTAGACTCTAGGGTACTTGAGGGCAACAAATCTTTTTGACATTTCTTTGTATTCTCCACCTTGCATGCCTTACCTTGCGTATTTTGTATGTACGCGTGTATCCTCCGCCTCATATACCCTAATATATATTTGAGTGTTTACCTAGTATGCGAACCGTAAGTATTGGTTGATTGCCTGACTTTCACTGGAACTAGCATGTTATGTTACACAAGGTTTTCAAAGAGGAACTGATATATTTTGTTCAATTTCTTCAAGATTGGTATACCTTATACACAGTACTTTACCAAAAGATATGCACCAGGGTGTTCACAACACTCTTTGCAAGCCCCAAACCGGAAACCACCTGGATATCCATCAACAGGAGAATGAATAAAAAATTGAAGAGAAACCAACGACCTGCTGCTCCAAGCAGCTGAAACCTACCTCAAACCAGGTTAGGCAAAATGTGACTCCCCGACCCCCTCAACTGGGTCTCATGCAGAATAAGACTGCTGTGTCTGTATGGAGGCCTCCGAGGCCCTTCCTGATCTGGCTCCACGTACCTCTCTGACAGGATCCTCAGCTAGTCTGTCCTGGCTCCTTTCTTTCTCATCCCACTACCTCCCATTGTTGCTCCTGCACACCCAGGCTGCTTCTGCCTTGGCCCTTTCCTCTCCAGTCCCTCTGCCCCAGAGGTTCTTCTCCCAGAAATACCAGGTTCCTTCTCTCATGTCCTCAGGGAGGCCTCCCCTGACCAACTATTTAAACTGTATCCTGGCCCTCACCTCCCCCTCTCCGGCACTCCGTCTCCCTCTCCATAGCCCTTGGCACCTTGTTATATGGTATATAATTTATTCTGGTATCACCCCTTGGAAGCTTAAGGAGTTTCACTTCCCATGTTCACTGCTGTATCTCCACTGCCCAGCACTCCATAACCAATTGTTGAATGGATGAAAGCAGACATGATTTTTGCCTGGTTGAAGCTCACGTCCTAATAGTCATAAGTGCTGATAAATTCCTTTTAAGTCTAGAGGAGAATGATTTTCTGTAAGAAACAGCAATTTTGTAAGACTCATTATTTTTTTTTATTTTTTTATTTATTTTTTTTTGTAAGACTCATTATTGAAGTGGAAAATACACACAGAAAAGGGTCCATCATAAGGGTACAGCCTGCTAAATTTTAACCGACCAAACACCTGTGAGCAACCAGCACCCAGATCAAGAAAGAGAAGTGGCCAGCTCCCTGGAGGCCTCGGGGGTGCTTGCTTTCAAAGCCAACTCCTTGCCCCTCAGTCATCATCCTGATTTCTAACAGTACAGAGAGGTTTTACCTGTATTTTAAATGTAGTCATAATACAGTAGGAACTCTTTTGTTTCTGGCTTCTTTCACTTAACATTATATGTATGAGATTCATTCATGTTGTTGCATGTGGGCTTTAGAAAATTTTCGAAGGACAGATTGTTGCAGAGGAGATCTATTCTTACTGATGTCAAAAGAATCTCTTTGGTCGCTGTGTTGACTATAGCCAGTGGGGGATACTGTGCCCAGGGAAGGAAGCAGGAAGACCAGCTGGGAATGAACAGATTGTGGATTAGATGGTGATACTAATGGAGAGACAGAATGGTTAGACTGTGGATAGACCAAGAAGAGAGCCAATAGGATGTCCTGATGGAATGGACATGGGGTGTGAGAGTAAGAGCAGAGTCAAGGATGAAGCCAAAGTCTGTGGCTTGAGGAATAAGAATAGAGTCTCCATTTTCCAGGGATGGGAAAAGAGTGTCAGGGGGAAGTGAGTATGGCAGGAAGATGAGGAGCTGTTCTGGATGTTCCAAGTGTCTCACAGACATCTAAGTGGAGCTGTAAATAGGCAGGGGGATCTGATATGAGTCTGGAGTTGGGCGGGGGGGTGGATCTCGAGAAGACAGTCTGCTTAGTGCTGTGTTTAAAAGATGATAGGGGGGATCCCTGGATGGCTCAGTGGTTTGGTTCCTGCCTTTGGCCCAGGGTGTGGTCCTGGAGTCTTGGGATCAAGTCCCACGTCAGGTTCCCTTGCATGGAGACTGCTTCTCCCTCTGCCTGTGTCTCTGCCTCTCTCTCTTTCTCTGTGTGTGTGTGTGTCTCTCATGAATAAATAAATTAAATCTTTAAAAAATAATAAAATAAAAGGTGATAGGGGGTGGGGCGCCTGGGTAGCTCACTCAATTGGGCGTCCGACTCTGTTTTAGCTGGGGTCATGATCTTAGGGTCATGGGATCAAATCCCGTGTCAGGCTCCGTGCTCAGTGTGGACTCTGCTTTTCTCTTCTCCCTCTGCCCCTCACCCTGCTTGTGCATGCACTCTCTCTAAAATAAATAAATCTTTAAAAAGAAAAGATGATGAGAGGATGGCAAGTGAAGACAAATATGAGAACAGACAACATTTGTAGACATTGTGCTATACATGGGAAAAAGATATGGGCCAGTAGCTGGAAAGGGATGTGGGATCAAGAGAAGTTTCTCTTGATCTTTTGTTTCTGAGTTGAGAGAAAATGGCAGCAGTTGATATGCTAATGAGAAGGTCTAGAGAGGAAAAATCCGTGATTTTGTAGGAGAGGAACTGCTCTCTTCACAAGGCATCCCCAACGCCTAGAACAGAGGCCCTCAAGAAATCGTTGTTGAGTAAATGACTTTGAATTCACCAAACACATCCCCGGCAAGAGTTGTCTTAACTTCACGTGAAAACAATACACCAGAATACTTTCTTAGGATTGCAAGTAGAACAGTGTTACCCCACCCTGCTATGACAAGGCTTATTAGAAAGGTCCACGTATGTAGACCTGCCTCCTGAAACCTGAGTGACTTAAATACTAAGGATCCCTGGGTCAGATGAGAGCACAGGTATCAGTGAGCAATGATGCCACAATTCCAGCCTCTTTAGAGGATATCACCTATCTATCGCTGCTTTCCTCAAGATGACCTACGCACTGAGGCTTTGGTTACCTTGGAGCAGCACAACAGAGTGTTTAGAGCACAGATTCTAGAGCTACACTGCTTGGGCGCAAATCCAAGGTCTCTTGCTTATTGCCCTGGGCAAGTTATTTAACTTCCCTGTGCCTCAGTTTCCTTGGCTGTACTATGAGATCAATAATAGTATCTATTTCACAGGATTGCTATGAGGATTAATGAAATGATATTTGTAAGTAAGTAGAATAAACTTAGCACATGTTAAAGTGAGTGAATAAACAAAAACTTTAGGAATGGCCAGTGCCACTTGGCTTTAAAGTTCAGGATCCATCCATCTCTCTCTCTCTTTTTTAAGATTTTATTTATTTGAGGGACAGAGATTGAGAGAGTGTGAGAAAGCGCACAAGTGGGGGGAGTGCCAGAGGGAGTGGGAGAGAGAGAATCCTTTTTTTTTTTTCCTTAAGATTTTATTTATTTATTCATGAGAGACACAAAGAGAGAGGCAGCATAGGCAGAGGGAGAAGCAGGTTCCATGCAGGGAGTCCGATGTGGGACTCGATCCCGGGTCTCCAGGATCAATGCCCTGAGCCGAAGGCAGATGCTCAACTGCTGAGCCACCCAGGCATCCTGAGAGAGAGAGAATCCTAAGCAGACTCTGTACTTAATGCAGAGTCTGATGCAGGGCTCTACTCAAGGCTCTATCTCATGACCCTGAGATCATGATCTGAGCTGAAATCAAAAGTCGGATGCTTAACCTAGTAAGCCGTCCAGGCACCCTCTTTTGTTTTGACATTCACTGGTGGTTCAAAGCATCTTACCTTACCATCCTCTCTTACATCGTGCCTTCTTATAATCTCATGCACAAATGTTCCCTAGATCTGTTAATAGCATCCTATGCTTGAACGTTCTTTTCTTTCTTATGTATAGAATGTTCTCCGGTTTCATTAGCCAAATCATCTCCTTTCTTAAACACATTCTTGAAATCTCACCTTCCTAAAGAGGTGAGAGGAAGAGGGATATTACCCGTACTGCCTTGCTTTCTAAACACCCAACTTCTAAGGTTTAACTCTCTGGCAAACTGAATCTTGGATAATTAAGGAATTGAGAGATGTGATTCCTTGTTCAAGTTCTCCTGATAAAACTGCTGTATACTTCATCCACCTGGGCCTCTCTTCTATTGTCTGTAAAATGAGTGGTGAGGGGTGAAAAATGATCATGAGGAGGAGGAGGATGGCAGCACATGGCATATGCTGGGCACTTCCTTTGTGCTAGCCTCCATCCAAGCTATTTAAATGTACTCACTCATGTAAGTCCTACCACAGCTTTGTGAAGTGTGTACCATTATTAGTCCCATGTGAAAAACAGGACACGGAAGGACCCAAAGGTGAAGCAAGTTGTCTCAGCTTACACAGCTAGTCTGTGGTGACACTGAGAATCAAACCCAGTGACCTTTAATGCTTTACATTTGAAGACCCCGCACACCTCAGACATGCTGTGGACAGATTGGCCAGCTGAATGAACAAAGCCCTGAAAATGTAGAGGACCACATTAGAAAATATGACAGGTGCCAACAGAGCATATTTTAGCTTAATTTAGAAGGACAAAAGACTCTAATATCTTCTACCATTAGGAAGAAAGGATTGCAGAAATCATTAAGGTGACAGATCTTAGACTAGAGAAGGACAGGAAAGCAACTATAATTTATGAGATATTTATCCCCTGGAATGAATTTATCAGTAGTCGGGATAAACCATGGGGAAACACTGGGGAAAGTGAAACAAGATTCTCTATAAGTTGATCATTGTTGAAATGGAGAGATAGAAGGTACACAGGAAGGTGCTACAGTATTCTTTCTACCTTTGAATATGTTTGACAACTGTCCAAAATAAGAAGTTTCCAAAAATGAAATCAACTTCAAAATGCCACTGACAAAGTGTTCCACCAAATGCCTCCTAGAAGAATCTGAATTTCAGCTGTGCTGTATGTATTACTCCAACATCTATCTCTTAACAGTTGGCTCGAGTGCAACATTGCAGTCTCCAAGGAGGCTGCCTGCCCTGTTGGCAGCAGGGTGAGTGCCATGATGCAGCTGCTGTTGGCATGCTGAGAGCTGGAAGGGGAGAAATTATAAGGCAAAACAAGAGTAAGTCACAAAGAAAATGTGAGTCAAAATTCAAGGACCCCACACCCGCTACTCTGATCACGAAGTCTAGCTTGGCAGCCAGTGGAAGCAGAGGTGGGGGCTGAGGGCTGAAACAGGTGCATGAGTTCCCCAGCAAAATGCAGCCCTCTCTCTTACACACACAGTCTTTCAATTTTTTTCATTTGCATAATAAAATGGGTCTTTAAAAAGAAGAATGAGTATGTTAACCACAATGGAGCAAGAAGAAAAGAATCAATTAACCTTATGGTTAATAGCCAAATTTTAAAATATTATTTCAAATATTGTGTTCATAAAGCATATTTGTTATTTTTGTGATTAATCCTGTTCACAGAAGGGCTGCTATGACAATGTTCTTGAGCATAAGTTCCTTCATATAATTCAGCTTTAATACTTCTTGTTCAAATTAATGTTTGCCCTTGCATGGCTTGAATATGAGTATCCCATGTCAGAATTTTTTTTGTCTTGGGGAGAAGATGAATTTCCTTATTGTTATCATTACAACAAACAAAGTTTAGAATTAATTAGCTATTTTTATGTTTGTTTAATAATTCTTATTCATCACTTAACCTGTTAAAAATGGGCTGGCCAAGTTTATCTTGTATTCCTCACATTCTATTATATTTGTTTCAAATAATTCAAAAAGGTTTATAGGCAGTATTCTCTTTTTTTGCAGAGGGGCTGTAAAGATTCTTGAGGTTCAATCTGTAAAATCTTCTCAGAGCTTCAGAAAAAAAGTCCAAGAAGACAAGGCACATAACACTTTTCAGTAAAGGCTTAGAAAAATGAAGTCACTTCCCTGGAGCAACAGAAGGTTAGTGGCATCCTGTGAACCTCACTCCTGGGTATTTGAAAGCAAGAAAATGCAGGTTCAAGAACAGACTACGTTTTTCCTGGCACAGAAGCCCCCCAAATCACCATGAAATCTATTAAGGGGTGCCAATTTTGCAAACCCGCTAACAGTTTGGAGACCTCATCTACTTAGCCATACCTGCTTAAAATATGAATATTTTATTAATATTAACATCACCTATATTTAGCATCTTTTTAAACTCCTGCATTTGGGACGCCTGGGTAGCTCAGCAGTTGAGCACCTCCCTTTGGCTCAGGGCATGATCCTGGAGTCCCGGGATTGAGTCCCACATCAGGCTCCCTGCATGGAGCCTGCTTCTCTCTCTGCCTGTGTCTGCCTCTCTCTCTGTGTGTCTCTCATGAATGAATAAATTTTAAAAATCTTTAAAAAAAAAAAAACCCACAAAGCCCTCCTGCATTTTAAGACAACCTGTGCCTCAGATAAGTAGAGATAAAATAGTGTCCCATAAAAGCAAAATATTGAAGCATTAAAATTTAGAAACCAACCTTAAAACAAAACAGTAACAGAACCTATTAGAAGAATATGAAACCAGGTATAAAACACACATCTAGCACATTCAATTTACATGCAAAGAAGGTAGCTATACACTAAAGCATATTTCTAGGAAACAAGTTACAGTAAGAAGAGGTAATGTCAAGCTCTGGCTGTCTATGCCTTTAAATTCTAACATCTATAAATAAAAGACATGTTCCTTTGAACAATAGCCTGAACAGGCAACACTGTCACTTTATCTCCCCAGATAACTATCCATTCTATTCTGGCTTCAGCTGGTATCTGCTTGCATTACATCAGTGTCTTGGTGGGGGTAGGTTGGGGGGGGCAAATCTGAGTCAGAAGTATCAGGGGACAAGAGGTTAGAAGGTGATAGAAGCAAAAGCACAGTTAAGGCAGTACTCAGGCTCCTTATTTATTTATTTTTCTAAGAAGCTAGTTGCTAATAAATGTCCAGCTAGCTGACAAAAGCAGGAGGACTGGTCTCTTATACCTACATAAGCTCTAAGCAATAGTCTCCTTTCACTAGGGAAAAATTATTTTGCAAAGGTAGAGACTGATTGTTGCTTTTCTGCAGATCCTCTGTACTCAGAACAATAACCCAGTGCCTCACTTGTGGCACTTGGTTGGCACTGAATCGGCTCTCCTTATTTCTGAGATACTCTAGGCACCCCAGACTTGATTTTGAAATCGAGGGGGTTAGGCCAAACAAACAAAAGCCCAGAACACCTGACCACTGATACAGATAAATTAGGCAGGAGTGAAAGCTGAATTCACTGCAAACATGTTTCCCATAGAGCCTGGGCTCCCAGTTTGAGGATGCCATATATTTAAAAAGCAAACTAAGGGGCCAGGTTAGAAAGTAGATATTTTCTTTGCTCCCCTTCTGATTTCTGACATCATTTCAATTTACATCTCAGCTTATGATATTTTTTTCAATATTTGTTCTCTTCCCCTCACCCCCCACAGTTTTTCCACCTGCCTGTGCTTCCTATTTCTTCCATCTTTCTTTAAAAACAAAAAAACAAAAACAACAAAAAAAGTTCTCCTGACTTCCTCTTTTCAGAACTCCAGCTGAATGTATGCAAGTGAAGAGAGGGAAGTAAGCAGCAGGCTGGCACTTGCTTCTGTAATCTGTTCCATGCATTCTTGGAAAAGTGGCTTCACTGAAGCCGGAAAATCTTCTGTACAGCCAACTAGAGTGGGGGAGCAGTGGAAAGAGGAAAGAGAAGCATTTCAGGAAAGGAACCAGCAAGAAACAGTATGTTCGGCATGGGATCCTGTTTAATACTGGTTTGTGAAATAAAAAAAGGCTATCCAAGTGATTTTTTAAAAAACATTTTTAAAAAGAAGATTATAGAAAAACTTTTTAAAAGTTTATAGAAGCTCATCATCTCTGACCTGAAGCTATCCAGAAATCTCGTATTTTCCTGTAGGCCTTCCCCCTCATTCTTGTCAGCATACATTTCACCCCTGCTCTCCCCTCCTGTAGCCCTACATCACCACCTGGCTCCTCACTGACAGCCCATGGGGATGAGTGCCTCACATCCCACTCTGCAGAGGAAATAGGAATCATCAGGGGAGGATCTTGTCTACTTACTGTACCCAAAAACCTTCTCGGCATCTGTCTGTACCCCTCCATACTTCCCTCCTGCCACCACAGCAAGTTGCCCTCTTCCTACCCAAAGCAAATCCCTCCCTGGCACCCCGCATCCATCTCGCCCCTACTCTTGAAGGACACGGCTTCATCCATTAGGAGGTGGCTCCTGATTGCTAATCTTTTATAAAGTCAATTCATCATTCACAGAAAGTTCTCCTGAGGTCTTTCATACCCAACTGGATCTTACCCACTGAACGCCCACACTATCTTTCTTTCGCAGTCAGGCTGAGATGATTGTTGACACTCGCCATCTGTTTCACTCCTCACCCACTGCAATCGGCCTTCTATCTCTGCCCCTGTATGGCCACTACTTTGTCCAAGGTCACTAATAATCACACTGTGCTAAACTCAGAAGATGTTCTCAAGTGCTAACCATATATGACTTCTTTGTAGCACTTCAGACTGGTGACTCTGAGTTTTTTAATCTTCTGGCTTCCACGCCACTTGTTAGTGTTGCCTTTATCTGTCTAGCTGATTTTTTTTTTTTTGGTCTATTCTGAAAGGATATTCTCCATTCTGTTGCTTTATTCTTCCTCTCTCAACACACTTCCCTAGAGGAGCTTATCCATATCCATGGTTCCTTCTGCCCTATTCCTCCACTCCCCCAAAGTAGATACAAGAATGTAGATACATGCATGTGTACACACACACACACACACACACACACACACACACACACACACATCTTGAACCCAGACTTCTATTTAGAGCTCTGGACCCACATGTTCAATTCCTATTATATCTTTCCTTTTGGAATATTAAACTCAACATGTTCTGAACCTGACTCTCAAGGCTTCCCAGTTCTATTCCAACCCAATGCTCTTCTAATATTTTTTGTGCAATGATTGTCAAACACAGAAGTCTGAATTATCTTGGACTTCTTTCTCCCTGTCACTTCCTCTATCCAGTAAGTGGCTGAGTCCTACTGATTTTGAGGTTTTTAATGTCTCCCCAAGTTTCATCATTTCTCATCAATCCCACCATCAATTCTCTTAATGCAAGCCACTATAGTCTTGTATCATGAATGCTGCAAGAGTCTCCTATATATGGCCTTACTCCTCTCTATCTCTCACTGGTAGTATCTCACATGCTTTTCCTTGTTTAATGCTCCTCAGTGCCTTTGAACAAAAAAAAACTCCCTATTGTAGCACAAATGGTATGATCTGGCCTTGCTTACCCCTCAGATTTCTTTTATTACCATTCCCTAATGTCTTCACACCAAGCTATTTACAATTATTCAAACATGCCAAGCTTTCCCTTTAGCTCTGAGCTTTGGCTCATTTGGTTACTTCTGTCTAAATTGGGACATCTTTCTCTTTCCTACTCCCTACATCTTGCCTCTTTCAATTTGCCCTTCAGGATGTACCCCGCGCTCTTTTAGAAAGAGCTCCCCAAGTAACTCCTCAAACCTGGGCCAAGTGCCTGCCCATGTATTCCCACAACAGCTTGTGCATACCTCTCTCTCGCCACAAATCACACTGGACTGGAATGCTCTGTCACCCTCATAATACCATGGGCCATTGAAACTCAGGGACAGTAGCCTTCATCTCCATTCCCCTGGCAATCAGAGCAATGTCTGGCTCATAACAGGTGATTGATATATATTTACTGAATGACTAAATAATTTCAGTTTCTTCACAAACTTTATATTCAGACTTATTCAGAAAAGGCCAGGGATTATTATGTTAAGCTGGATTTCCACATCTGTTTTTTTTTTTCCTAACAAGATTTTGCCCACTGCATTATCACCCACATGGTAAACCATGGATGGTATTAAATACAAACAAACTTAAAACTAGCTTAGTTTCCTAAAGAACGAGACGGATTGTTCTTCACTTGGCAAATGAACAACTTCACTAATGTGTCTCCCAATGGAAGTTCAATGAGGTTCTACTACAATGTAGAGACTGTGGCAACTATTTT